AAGTATTTTGTTACTTCAGGTGAGTCTTTGTTCACAATTTTGATGACTCCTAGTTCTGCAATTCTATTGCTTCCGCAACAAGCCTTGAAAAGAAATGTTTGGCTTTGCAATGCAATGCCTTGAACTCCAGACGATGGATTAATGGTTTGTTTTCTTCCTGTCTAATGGGCAGTATTAAAAGTAGAAACGAGTTATCCTTATATCAAACCTTGAGTACTTTTTTTCATCTAGGGAGTATGCAGGTCATTTCATGCACTTAGTTTAGAAAACGGTCTTCTGAAGAATTCTGCTGTCCACAAAAATGATGGCAACACCGGACCTGAAGATTAGCTATTTCCATGCGCTGCTAACCTCAGATGATTTTGCCAACAGCCTACAAAGTGGCTGGAACAAGGCAGAGCATGATCAGCTCCACTTGTCATTTGGCAAATGACATTTATGCAAATAACTTCTTTGGAAGGGTACAGAAATGCAAAGATTTTTTTCATGTAAAATAGCTATGTCCATCTGTTGTCGTTTAAGAGGGAAAGTTATGGCTCACATGTTGAAAAGGTAATGTGGCTTTACATCCTGATTTATAAACCTTTTTGTACCTCACCTCAAAGATGTCAGGGTTTCAAAGGCTGGTAAAGTAATCACTATCTATAGCTTTTTATCATTTTTAGTAAAGTGGTCTAGAATGAACATGGTTTTATTTTTCCATTAGTGAAGGACAAAATGAAAGACTAAGTTTTTAGAAGCTGAGAACTTAGTACCTATGTAGACGCTTTATTAAGTATAGACATAAAACCACACAGTCATTATCTTAGAGGACATGCTAGTGGAGACTGTCCCCATTACAAAGGTATAACAATGCATAACTCCCTCTGTGGGCGTTGTAATTTTTAGTTAATTAGGACTGAGTCTCTCTTCTCTTTAGCAAATATTACATTGCTTCACAACTGTCTCTGCTGACTTCAGTGTTCTGACTTGCGTGGGAGAAGATTTTGCAGGCTCATCATCCACTCGTATTTTGGAAACACGGCAGTTGATTCATAAATATACTATATCCTTCACTTAAATTTAGTATGGGTCCACCACCTCTAGCTTCTGGATGCGTCTCCTTCAGATTTCAATCACATTGTTGTGCATTAAGAAAATTTATCAAGTTTTATGCCAGTCTTTAGGACAGATGTGTCACTGTGATCCTCTAGCTCAATGCAGAAAAGGGCGATAAAAGAGCAGATGACACAGACTTCGACAAGGATATACGTCAGGGCCAAGATCCCTGTCCTCTCCTGTGGGTTTGGCTGCCTGTGCTCAAGGACTGTTAGGACCTGCCCTTGGCTCAGGCTGCTGAGGAGAGGGCTTTATGAGAAGGCTGTAAGGGGCTCCCCAGCATCACCTGGGGGCTTTATTAAGCTCTGCCCCCCCTTCTTTGCCCTTTCCTGAGCTGCTGTGGCCATGTGTTTTACCATAAACCTCTGATAAAGATCCTGATCCTGCAGCTTGACTTCCCAGCTTGACCTCAGGCCTGCCTCACCACTGCGGCCTGCTCTGGCAATCACTGGGCTGTGCTGGCCCTGATTTCTGCCACCAGACCTGCTCTGCTCAGTCATTTGGCTGCTGTAGGAGTACATTTCTCTTCCAGGATTTCTACCCCTGCCTGCCATAGTCCCCCTGGCATGCCCTCCCTGCAGAGCCGCCGGCTCCTGCTGCCCCCTCCATGTAAGCGATTCATCCCCCCCCATCTACAGCATGGTGTGCTGGTGCCGCTCCTGCTGGCAGAGCGATGGTTTCCAACTGCTACATCTTCCAGCACATTGGAGTTCGTTAGACACATTTGGAAATTAGATACTAAAAATATTCAGATTCTGAAAATATCTTCCCTGGAAAGAGTGCTAGCTTTCCTATGTGATGGCTATCTTCTTTTTTTATAGTTTAAGCTTTGACATCCCTTGCTCGCTGCTGAAAAGTTTATTTGAAATAAGTCACAATTTGGGTCTTCCAAAGGTATGTTCTATTTTACAGATGATTGCACACTTTCTTTGGCCTCCAGATAACACTTTTTTGTCATAGTTACTACCATGAAATGCCTTTTCTCTCACTTTTATTTTTTCACCATGTAATACATTTTGTGAAGAAATATTAGCCTTAGAGAAATGCACAGAAGACATGTATGTCAAATTCTTTTTTTAGTGATTATGTTTTCTTGAAAAATTCCAATACCCATACTCCAAAACATCTTACATCTCAGAACCCAGCATCCACCATCACTTAAGTGGAAGTCACTGGCTTTATGGCTCTGTATTCCCTAATGGCTATTAATCAGCATACCTTTGCCTAAAAGTGATTATTCAAGTGGTTTTATTGCCTCAGTAGGTTTCATTCCTGTGTTTGAATAACTCCAAAAGCTGCATTTCTGTCACTTGGATAGGAAAAAAAATACAACACACAAAAACCCAGCCCTAGAACTCAGAGTGCCTTACTTCACACTATTTCAAAGCTACAAAAATCAGCCCCATTTGAATGTCATTAAAATCTGTGAGTGCAGTTGTGGAGTGATGCTGTTCCAACACAAATTGCTCAGCCAAAATCACTGCTTGGATACAGGTCAGTACGATGTCTTTTCTGTTGGAGAAAGGGAGGCACAGAGAAGGACTGGTGCATTTGTTCTTGCTTAGCTTTGAAGAGATATTTACAGCAAGCATTTATTCTACACAGTAATTCAAACTGAAGTCTCTCAGGCCATGTCTCAGTGGTCCTGACATTTTAGTATTGCCTTTAATCCATGCCCGTGACCTAACATGTAAGATGCTTCCTCCGAGAATCAGGCCTTCTCACTCAAATAAAGGTCATTTAAGAGCTCCTTTGTGATAGCTTGGTGTCCAGAACTGGTTTTCTTCCAGCCTGAGTTAGTTGTGCAGGTAGTAGATGGCACCAGTCCTCACATAAGTGCTCTGTACAAGCTGCCATTAGCTGCCATTGGGCTTGAATCAAAGGGATCTTACTCAAGGAATAATGGATGTATATTGCCTGTCTTTTCTGCCATACATCCTCAGGAAATGTGACCGTTTTCTTGCAAAGCTTCTCATACTTTCCTTCCCTCCTTCCTGCCCGCCCCCAAAATATTTATCTACTCTGCTTGTATTTAGTCAAAACACAGCATTCATCTCTTTGGTTATGGTTTTATTTATCATACTCCTGCCTAACAGTCTTTATGCTACTTGCTGTAAACATACAGAATAAGATATAGTCCCTGTGCACCCAAAATTGTGCTCTGGAAAAGATGTGGCTGGGAAAGATAGGGAGATGCAATAGATCACATCCAGGCCAGTGATGAGGCCAGAAACATAGCAGAGGTTGTCTTATCCTAGTCTTTTGACCTGAACCTGCATCTCCAGCTGCAAGATTTACACAAAGGCTCAAGAAGAACATCCATTAGATTTGATGAACTTTCTTTGAAGCTGCTGGAGTCTGCCCTACAGTACAGATAATTCATGTGTGGCTTCTTTTCCTGATGGGGGTTAAGGAGGATCTCTAAGACTTTTGCTTATGGCTGAACATCGGGGTTTAACCCATGTGACTATATTTCATATTTCTGTAATAGATTAACCGAAATCACAGCTTGTCAGTCTACTTTCATGGAAGATCTAAAGAAAAAAAAAAATGCAAACATGAGTTAATAAATTCTGTCTGAGACCTGGCCAGTTTCCCAGTGTCATTGACCAATACTAAAAGATCTTCTCCAAAAGAGAAGTTACAGGCTCGAAAGACTCATCGGATATTGTCAGAGTCCCGTGGCTTGCCTGGGGCAAGACTTTTACTGCATAAATTCAGGCAGAACTATATAACAAAGGCGATCATGGCAGCGCTGGATGGATATAGCAGAGCACACTTGGGATTCTTCCTCCTCCCATCACTGATGTTCCAAGTGAGCAAGACAACTTGGGGCAAAGCAAAGCAAAACATCACTTATTAAGGAAACAATATCTTTGGACTAGCGTGGAACGGGAAGCTGGAAACGACCGGCTCGCTGTCAGGAGCTTGCTAAGCCACCCTGCTCAGGCAGACAGCCGGGTGCGGAGCCTTTTCCCGTTGCAGCAGCCCGGTGCCGAGCCGAGCCGAGCCGAGCCGTGCGGCTGCAGTTGCGGGCGCTGCCCTCGAGGTGGAACCTTCGCACCGAGGCTGCGCCGGGCTCTGCGGGCCGGGAGCGGCCCCGGGCGTAGCGACCCCGCGCCCACGGAGCCTGCGGGATTTGTTATTTTTTTGGGGGTGGGTGATGCAAACTTCCAGAGAGGCCCGGCAAAACGCTCCCACGCCCCGCGGGGTGGCCCCGGCCCCGCGGTACTGAATCTGCCCGGTGCCCATGGGGGAGAGGGGCACCCCCGTGAGAAGCCGGGGATGGGGAGAAAGGTGCGGGGACACCGCATCCCGGAGTGGGGGGACGGAGAGGGGGGCGTATTGGGAAGCCCCACCTCCGTGTTGACAGCCCCCTTCCGAAAATTGCTCGAGAACCCCTCGGGCAAAGCCTGTCTGAGGGTACCGGGGGTGGGGATGGGGGGGCGACTGGAGGAGCCCCAGCCCTCGTCGGGCCGGGGTTGGGGTGGAAGATGCTCCGAGCCGGCCCGGGGAGAGCCGCTGCCTTCAGCACCGAGAACAGCTACAAGTGCGGCGCCGAGCCCACCCCACCGCGCCCTGCACTGCCCCGCAGGAGCTGCGGTGAGAGAAGGCAGCGGCTGTGCCGAGCCGAGCAGTGCCAAGCCGTGCTAAACCGTGCCAAGCCGTGCCAAGCCGTGCCGAGCCGTGCCGAGCCGTGCCAAGCCGTGCCGAGCCGTGCCAAGCCGTGCCGAGCCGTGCCAAGCCGTGCCTGAGCCGTGCCACTGCGGGGCGGGGGTCGGGGGGCGTTCTCTTTTCCCCGGCTCGGCACGGCGTGGGTCTGGCGCTGCAATTGAGCGGCGGCGGAGGGTGGAGATCGTCACGGGGGCTGAGCCACCGGTCCCAAAAAGTTTTTTTTTTTTTTTTTTTTTTTTTTTAAAGGAATGGGAGGAGGAATAAGGAAGGAGACAGTGGAGAGGGTTCGGCTTGGCTGATCGCGAGTGTTATGCAGCACCACTGAAACCGCTCTCCTGGCTACCTGTCCCAGGCTGAGCTGCACATGAAGCTGACGCTACCGGCAGAAGCGATTTGAGACGAGGGTTGTACCGAAATTACCTCATGCTATTCCCGATCGGCGCCCAGTATTAATTCCAGTGACCTCTACAGTAACACGGATATGCAACTCTTTTCCAGCAAGGTATTTGTGTGTGTGTGCGGGGTGTGTGTCTCCTGCAGGTCTTATTTTAAGGCGAGCGGACTCCACGAATAATGCAAGTTTTGCCTCACTTAAGGTTTTGGGGCAAGGCAATCCACTCCGCCTGCTTTCTGGCGCCGGGGGCTTTTGTGTTGCATTATTATTATTACTATTTGTGTGTGTTTTAATTATTTATCATTTTTATTGTCGATAGCCTCCCCCTATCAGCTCTACCGAAAGAGATCCCGGGCACGGTGCCGTCATAGCAGCGAGCAAAGAGGGAGGATGGGGGTGCCCCCAAGAGCGGCATCTCCCCCCTGCCTCCTTAAGCGGGTCCTCTCCCACCCCCGCGGGGAGGGGGCTGGGGGTTCCCCGCCATCCCCCCTCCCCCCAGTCTTGGTCGGGGTTCTCCAGCCGGGGGCACCGGGGGGCTCCAACTTCTCGCTCGGCTCCGAGCTCCCTTGGGGTGGGGAGGGGAAGGGGGAACACGGCCGGGCTTTGGGGTCCCCCCCAGCCCGGGGAAGGGAGCGAGAAACGTCACCGGTCCCACGGCGAGGGGTCCGTGGTGTCCCCCGGCGGGGAGCGGCATCCCCAGCGCCGGCATGTGCTTGTTGCGGGGACCCAGCAGGTGCATGCACGGCACGGGTAAAGCCCCGAACAACAACAAAACCCACAGCCAACCCCCCCCCCCCCCCCCCCCAACAACTCAACTCATCGATCGGTGATCTGAAGTGCATGCAAAGCCGGAGGTTGCACGTCGGAGTTTGCAAGCTCCCGACCTCCGGGACCGGGGATTCATTAAGAGATTTAGGGTTTCATTGAAGGCGCATTGTGAAGCTGACCGGTTGATGCAAGGAGAGGAAGGAACCACCGGCGGCTCTGACTAAAAGGCGACGGTTGGTTTTGATTTTATTATTATTATTATTATAATTTTATTATTATTACCATTTGCAAGCCTGCGGGCAGCGAGGCCCCGGGGGGAGCAGCGGCGAGGCTGTGCCGGAATCCCTCAAAGACAGACGCCAGCTGGGGTAGGGAGGGGGAATAAAAAAAATAAAAAATTAAATAAATAAATAGATAGCTCGGCTAAGTAAAGTGGAGAACAATAGGGGGCTCCCTTCAAGGGAGAAACGCCGCGGTGATGGGCGATGCTAAGGGAGAGGAGGCTCGGCCAGCCCCGGGGGTGCTCCCGGTGCCCCCCCTCCTGCCCCAAGCCCGGCGGGACCGCCTCGGGTCCCGGGTCCCTTCGTCCCCGGGGTGCCGGGAGCCGAAGGGCAGCCGGGAGAGCACGGAGGAGCCGCACGGAAAGCGGGTGCGTGGCCGGGGGGCTGCTGCTGCCTGCCCCCACCTCGCCAGGGAGGGCGGCGGAGCGAGCAAGGGGAGCCCCGGGGGGGGGGGGGTAAAGGGGGTGTTATGGGGTGTCCCGGGATGCTGCCGCTTCTCTGGGCAGAGCCCCTCCAGGGGCACCGGGCAGAGCTCCCGGAGCCTGCTCTGGGGATCTGGGGTCTGGTGGGAAGAGGGGAAAATGGGAAGAAAACCAGCAGAGGAAGCTCTCGCAGGGTGCCTGGGAGAATCTCCTTGATGATTGCTTGGCAGAGTGGAGGTGAAAGGAACTCTGAAGGTGTTAATATTGATGGGGTTTATTCAGCTGTGAGACCAGGCAAGGGCAGAGGAAAATATTTGATGCTGTTTCCTTTCCAAAAAAATTGGAAGCTCCTATTAGTCTCGCCCTGGCAGAAGGACCTGTGCTGCTTTAGCAGGGGAGCTTGTTTGAAGGATGGATATTTGCAGGCAGAAGAAGATGGGGGCTCTGGGGTATTTGAAAAGAGGCTGATCAGAGTGAGTGGAGACATTTCTCTCATGGTGCTCTGGGAAGAAATCATTCCCGTAAACAAGATGCTGGGGGTGACTTGCCTTGAAGTCCTGATTATTGTGTAAAGGTTACCTCTGTGGCAGGGGCACAGCAAATCATTGCAGAAGAGCTGAGGTAGATAAGACTACTTACATCAGTGAAGAATTCTTCTGCAAGTTAGGAGCTGCAGTGTCAAGGCCTAAGGTTTTCCGAAATCCCTTCTGTTGTCAGCAAACCCTATTAATCTTCTATATGTGTCAGGTTACTGTATGCAGGTGGCAACTCTTTACCCACTCTGTGCTGAAATTCAGCTATTTGTTCATTGCCGAGTGCCTTGCAGGAGAAAGAGGCAACTTTTATGAACACTAAAAGGAATGTTAGCCAGGCAATTTTTATCTGATAGTTCAGAAGTAGTATCAGTAGTAGGGAGCCAGAATAATAACATATTTGCATTTATTTTTCTTGTTAAACTTCAGAATGGAAGATGCCGTCCTTTTGCTTTCATTCACTAAAACCAGATCAGTTTTGCATTGACTGGACATCTGACTGGTTTTTGGGTGTAGAAACGTGTCTTCTCCCTCAAGCTTCTCCTCTTCTAATTCACAGAAAATCAATTTCATTTCATTTTAGTAACGTGCCAGCTGTGCCTCAAATGTAATGACAAATATATATTTTTTTGGCCTCAAACAAAATTGCAAATACTTTTTTCATAAACATTTTTCCCACCACCGAATAGATTTTTTGTTTGTTTATATGTTTGCTTTGGGTCTCTCAGTGAAGGTTCATGTGTGTCTGGCTGGCAACGCCAATTTAAAAATGTTCCATGAAGTTCAGTGAACATGTTTTCCTGCTTAAGATGCAGAGAATACTCATTGCTCCTGTGGCTGTCTGTAATTGAGAGATTTTTTTTAAAAACAACATTTCCAGGTGATACGAAATGTTTCTGTGATTTCAGCCACAACTCCAGTGCTAACTGTAGGTCACCTTTTCAGGAGCATTGTTACCAAAATAAAGACCCTGCCTATATTTATTTCTTTACGTATCCGTCACTTTCAGCTCACTTTTTAGATCTGTTTTTAAATTTGAAGACCTGAAAGGAGCCCACCTCACAGCAAGGGCTGTGAGTCTGTGGGTGAAGGAGTGATGGCTCCCTACACGTGCTGGTGCACTGGCTCTGGCATCACGGCACTGGGGTGCCCAACCTTGTGTACCAAATGTCTCATAATGCTGCATGCTTTCACGAAGGAAGTAATTGCAGAACCAGACACCACAAGCAGAAGTTTCCACGTTCCCGTCTTGCAGTACCCCACCTCCTTCGGTTTAAAAATAAATATACATTCTAGCAGAAGGAGTGGAGGTCTGTGCTGAAATGCTGACTTTAAAAATAGCAATATGTTCTGATAGTACCAGATATTTTTAATGAATTAAAACCAGGAGAAGCATATATTTCAAGGTGACTGGGGAGAGGCTTTGTGCTGCACTTACTCTTGAACTGTGCTGAGGAAATGTGTGAATTTCTTCTCTGAACTCATGTTCCCAGTGAACAGTAGCTACTACAGAGGGGAACCTGGTAAATTGTGAATATATTTGCATTAATTCAAACTTTTATGGTCAATCTGAAAAGGACAGAATTTTACTTCAAATGAAATCTCTGAACATGAGGCAAACTCATTCAGACTTTATAGCTTAGCAGCCCTTGCTTTTCCACTAAAATTCATTGATAAAAATGGAATTCATTTAGCTGACATGCTTTCTACTTAGCTACACAGGCTTATAACATTCTGTAAAAGTTGACGTTAATCAATATGTGAAAAGCAGTGTGGCATGAATAAATTAGGCAGTGTAATAAAAGCTTTTATTTCTTAGGTAACATAAAAAAAAGAAGACTAAAAGGTCTTAAATTTTTAAATAGAACATTTTAAAATTTTATTTCTGTTTTATAGACAGACGAGCTGTGGACACTTGCAGCAAAGAAACATGCATTTTTATTTCAGGAAAACAGGCGAGCTAAGGCTGAGCAATTAATGCTTATGCAGACTGCGATGTTGAAAAAAATGCTAATTATCAATTCATTTAAATTTCATTCAGTTCCAGATAAGGTATTGGAGTCAAGGTGCTGTGCTCACTTTTGCTTCTCCAGTGTTGTTGGCATTGGGATTGCAATAGCTGAATTCATCACTGTTGGTTTTCATGAAGACTGACAGTTGCTTTAATTTTGGAGCATTCTTTGGCTGTAAGAGATTGACCTGAGACTAAGCAAGAGAAAAAACAACATTTTTTCCTTCATGAACATTTTCACTTTCTGAGTGGTGTGTTCTTGTTCAGCGTACAGTGTTAAATAAGAGCAGTCATCTTCTATTGCCTCAAGGGATCGCTCCCTGGTGGGACTGCACAGACCCACGTACTCTGAAGAGCTGGGTGCTCACTGTGGAACCAGAAAGGAAATTGTGTCTGATTTAGGTGCAGCTGCAACTTTCACTTGCTGCTGTTTTGAAACCCCTAGCTGTGTCTATCTACTGTGGCAATGAAGTCAACAGCCACTTGTGGCTAGTTAATACTTCTTGTGATCTCTCTGGTGTGGGCCATATTCTGTCCTCAGGCAGCATCCCATGGGACTAGATCAGCTCATGGGAAGGAGTGATATTCCTCAAGTTTCTCTATTTGTTACTGATGTTGAGTTTGGCTCCCGAGGCTGAAGCCTGGACAGATTTGTAAACTATGTGCCCAAAAGGAGCTGATGAAGAATAACAGGATTATCACATGAAACAGCACAGACTTTTTTTTTTTTTTTTTTTTTTTTCCATTTAGATCCAACCCTGAGCCAAATTCAAGCAAAATTAAATAATAAGAGGTACTGAAAGTCTTTTTCTGTTCCCAATTGCAATGATTTTATTCACACCAATTAAACGTTTCATTTTCAAGTCATTGCTCTGTTACCAGATCACTGTGAGATACCTTCTCATTAAATAGAAGACTTTCCATTGTGAATATTTTTCTCAGCTTTTCAAATAGACACTATTTTAAAACTGTTTTATAGTTTTATGAGCTTAGTATTATCATTTGGGAAAAAGACATAATAAAATAAATTAAAGCAGATGATCAGTTTCAAACCTTATCAAACCACATTTTGAGATTTGATAGCTCAAAGTATTTCAACATCTTGTGGAAAATAATTGAAAATGTCTTTGAAATACAGTATAAGTAGATCAAGTCTCTTCTAATTTGATGATATTTTGGTAGAAAACAGTTGGATCACTTGGGACAAAGTACATATCTACAGAGTAGACTGTTGTTCAGTGTGATCAATTTCTTCATACATTTTTTTTTTGTTTTAAAAAAAGCCGGGTGAATTTCACCATAGAGTGTCCTCTGCTCTCTATAACCTGTAACAGGTGTCTAGAGAGACTGCCTCAGATGTGGCTGCCCAAAGTGTGCCCATCTAATATTAGGTGAAATTAATTCTCTCTCTTTCAGCTCCTCAGAGATTAAAAAAAAAAAAAAAAAAATCATTCAGGCAAAAGTAATTTTGTTAAATATTGAAATAAACAAATGCCACTCACTTGAGAATTAAAGTGGTGGCAATTTTTATAACAGATTTTTATAACAGTGTCAGTCACGTACTTAGAAATGTAGGATGAAATCCTGGTCTCATTAAAATCAGTGGGACTTTTCCAGATGTCAGTGGGGGCAGAACATCATTCTTGTTTTTTGTGGTCCAAATGTAAGCAGAGAATAGATACCCTGCTAATGTTGGACCTCAGATCAAGTAAAAAGTGAGAAAAGGAATACTGGATGTTCAGCTCTTTTCCTAGCAGAATACATTGCTTTTTTTTTTTTTTTTTTTTATCTGAAGAAACCAACTACCTTTTCATAAATATAATTTAGCTTTTGAAATGATTGGGAGGGTATTTCATATATATAGTGAACCTGGAAAATAGTGAATTCCACTGGAGAAATAATCAGTTTAATATCCAAATGAACATGCTTGGACTGCAGCGGTTGAAGAGCGTACTTAAATTCAGGAACCCTGATTACTCCATTGTCGCAAGCAGAGCCTCTCAGGGAGTGCAAGTGTTAGGAGCTATTGCACTTCTGTGGGCTGGAACAGAATGATACAGCAAAACAGAAAATACAATATGTTACGGATCAAATATGTTTTTGGATGTCATGCAATGCAAGGTAAATAGGAATTACTCGTCAGGCTCTGAACATTAAGCTAAACGTAGTTGCCCTGACTTGGCTTTTGCTCTGCTGGTATCATCAATTTCTCGGCTTGTAGTACGGTGCAGCCAGGTGTTCAAATTCACAGAAGGCCAAGAATTACTCCCTTACAGAACATCAAAAGTAAAACCTCGCCAAAGTAACTCATATTCAAAAATAAATACACTGTGTGACAGGTATAAAACTGCTGAACTAAATAATTCTTACTGTTTTTTTTTTTCTTTTTTTTTTTTTTTTTTCCAGAAGTACCTCAGCTGCAGTGCAAAACAGAAGGACATGAGTTACTGACCTCCTCATAGCATCAGAACCAGAGATATTACCCTATTCTTTACCATCAGTTAGAAGCAGTTGGAAACCACCTCTGAAAAGCTGATCAACCCGTGACTTCTGTGGACATCTTTTGTAAAACACGTTTTATGTACTTCTGAGATCCTTTTTCTACCTTCCATATGGTTCTATATTACTTACTGGGCACTGATGGTAGCCTCCAGAAACTGCAGTTTCAAATGGTCAACCTCATCCTTTAGCAAGAAGAAAATCTGGATACTGGCTAGCAACAACGTCTTCAGAGAAAATGGTATACGAAGGAAAACGATTAGTTTCCTGCCATTGTTTCTTCCTGTTAACAGCCAAATTCTACTGGATTCTCACCCTGATGCAAAGAACTCATGGCCAGGAATATGCTCACTCCATCCGACTGGATGGGGACATCATCTTGGGAGGACTGTTCCCTGTCCATGCAAAAGGGGATAGAGGGGTGCCTTGTGGGGAGCTCAAGAAGGAAAAAGGGATCCACAGACTAGAGGCAATGCTATATGCAATTGATCAGATTAATAAAGACCCTGATCTTCTTGCCAATATCACCTTAGGTGTCCGGATCCTTGATACTTGTTCCAGGGACACTTATGCATTGGAGCAATCCTTAACATTTGTGCAAGCGTTGATAGAAAAAGATGGCTCAGACGTGAAGTGTGCTAACGGCGATCCACCTATTTTCACTAAGCCAGACAAGATATCAGGTGTGATAGGTGCTGCAGCAAGTTCTGTGTCCATTATGGTTGCAAATATTTTAAGACTTTTTAAGGTAAGGAACATTTTCTATTTTTCTTTTGAATTGTAAGCAAAAGGAAATAAATGAGGTGATTGTGTTGCCTTACTTTCAGAAAACAAAGGAACTGAAATCTGAAAAGAGTGGTTTGCCCTTTCAAAGCAGAAAAGAAAAAAAAAAAAAAGAAAGAAAAAAAAATGGAAAGAAAAACCAATGATTTCAGGCCCTAATTTAAAGTGCCAAATGCCTCTTTGAAGTTCTGAGCAACCAGAGCAGATTTTAGTTCTTTATTGACTTGTGTTTTTGTTTATTTGCTACTCACATTTCCTCCACATTGATTGTTTATGCTCATCAAGATCAGGTTGAGATTTATTTTGCAGATTTCTAGGAGAATGAAATATGAGGTTTAAACACAAATCCATTTGTAGAAAGAACAGATAATTTCCCTAAATAGGAAGATATGCCAGTAATAATCCAGTGCTAATGATGTGCATGTCTAGCCAAATGCAGTGTACAGAAATATCTTTTGATTCCCTTGAAATCTTAAACTCCCCCATATTTTTCACAAGGTAGTAATTTTTTCCAGACTCTGATATAACTTTGTGAGAGATTACTTTTGCACAACAGTTCTACTGGTATACTGTTCATTTCCTTCCATGTACTTTATTAAACTCTGCTCTTATAAATGATGGCAAAGTAAACCTGTCACTTTTAAACTTGTTAACTTAGATGGGAAGATGAACACATTCTAATCAATCATCAGATCGGGCAGCGAACATTTGATTTTTAATCTTGGGCAGTGGTAAATAGATTATGGTAAACTGAGCACTTTTTTTCTGTGCACAGAATGACTAACCTTTTCACTGAATCTATTTTGTCCTACTGCCCACTGTTGTTCAGACTGATTCCTTCTATTCAGAAATCTTGCCTAATGTCCTACAACTTCACAACCACTGAAAGCCATTTCTTTGACTTCAGTGGAGTCAAACTCCACTGGAGGTCAGACTTCTGGTAATGTTAAATAATGTTGTTACTGATTTTGAAAAGCCTCTCTTCTCTTCTCTTTGAGTGAAAATTTGAATAGAAGTAAGGAAAGATTGTCTTGTTTTGAAGGTTTCTCAAACTGGCAAGGAATATTTCAGTCATTTAAAAGGAGATTTCTATCCTTCCCTCCAGTTCTTCCACAAAGGGCATAATGATGGATTTATAGTTCAGTGGAGGAGCAAAATGTCTGCTGGGTTGTGGTCAGGTATTCATTACAGTCTCAAAACTGATGCCTGGCTGCAGTTACTGCACATGTTTGGGACTAGTGGACTTGTTCTATCTGTATGGTTTGGTGTCCTTATGAAAATCAAGTATACAAAATTGAACCAAGTCTTAAAAATATCCTATATGGGGATCACCTCTGGATCTGTGTCTGGTGGGGAAGGCTTGCTCTTCCCAGGAATAATCATGCATGCTGCAGGAAGTATATATTTTTAATTTCACATCTGCTCACATCTGCTTTTTTTTTTTTTTTTTTTTTTAATTTAAGTTTTGTTACCCTGTTAAATAATGCATGGTTCTGAAGTAATGATAGGTGGAACGGTCACTTAAATATCCATCATAATGCAGGGCCACACAGATGAATGTTTACACCCAGATTTGAGTTGAATACAGTGTAGTAGGCTGATTTAAGAATTTAAGGCTCGTACGACATGCTTTAACTGTGAATTAAGAGCAGCAAGAAGGAAAGAGGCCTATGAATTGTCTAAGATACCAGCAATTTGTCTTCTGAAACCATGACAGCTACCTCCTGATTTCCATTATGCAATAAGATTGCAAATAACGTTCTACTGCAGTCTTAATCAATAGAGGGTCATGTGATATCCCCTCTGGGGAAAGATCTTATTTACCCATTTAATTGATGTAACACAGCTGCTGGCAAAAAGAGGAGACATCTCTTTTAGTTTTAATTATAGATCCTGCACAAATATTCTTAATAATGTAAAAAATGACAAATGATACCCTTTAGTGTCTCATATTGGACCTGCATCTGATGTCTGTTTTTACACCTTCCTCTCAGAAGTAGCTCTGTTATCTTTGCCTGAGTAAAGCCTTCTGGATAAGGCCCTGGTTTAGTGGCACTAACCATGGACAATAGAAAGGTCCTTCACCAGAAATGTAGAAGTATAATCCAGTTTGGGTTGTACTCAGACCAAAGACATGAGCTGAGATTCTCAGCCGATGCAGACCCAACTACTCCACCGTGGAGGATCAGGACCTTTGCAAAAATGCCTATTTTCATTATATCCAGGATGAATGTGATTCATCCATTTTTATGTCTAGTAGTTCTATTCAGGAAGTTGAACCTGCAATTTGAAGCTCAGTATTGTTTTAATATCTACTCTGAGGTTCCTAAATGTCAGGACTACATATTTCTTGAGAACATTGTTATCCAGTGAAATTTTAATCTCTGGTAAAATTGTGAGAAGTATATTATATCACTCAATGGGAATACACAAACAAAGATAACTTGAGAAATACTATGCTCAGCAGTTTAGATTTTTATGCTGCTATTTTTCTTTCTTATTCTTTTTTTTTTTTTTTCTTTTCTTTTCTTTTATTGATTTTACAACATAAAACATACAGGTCAATAGTCCCATCTGATGATCTGGTGGATAGCATAAGCTGATTGATAGTCACAGTATCCTTTTATCTAAGTGTTCTCATGAGAAGAAAGGAAGGAGGGCACCACAAAAAATGACCTTGATCTATAGCCTTTCTGCTGGCCAAATGGATCACCTTCAATTCTTCTTCTCTGTCATTTTGTGAATATCCATGAGACATCACCACCTAGCAGCATTTTTTTTTTCCCTGCCCTTAATGGGTCTGAAACATTAAGGGCCAAAATTGGACCGATTAAATTTCATCTTCTGTTTGTTTTAGACCTGTCAGAGATACTTTGCAAACTGGAAACACTTGTTCAAGAAATTAACTATTTGGAAGTGAATCTTATTCCTTGATTTCTTTAAGGAGATTGCATTTTGCTTTATGTTATTCTGGTGCTTGATGCAATGAGGATTGTGCAAAAGAATTGTTTATTGAGCTTTCAGAACTTGGAAGTGGTCTTGCTGAAAACATAGTTGGAGAAGACCTTCAGAGGAAAGCACAGAGGGAATATGTTAGCTACCAGTAACTACCCACTCAAATAATTCTCTGTAGATCTCAGGACAGATTGTTCACAGCTGAAGTTGCTGGCTCATCATTTTGAGAGTTGATTTTGTCAGAGAGCATCAAGAATGGGCTGCTTCACAGGGGAAGCTGAGACAGAAGCTGAAGGGACAGCAAGGTGAGAAAGGCAGTGGTTATATGTACTGGTAACACAGCCTCACCCAAATGAGAACAAAACAGGTCTGGCCATGTGATGAGGTTCAGCCAACAGTCCAGACAAATCCATAGTGATGAAGTGTAAAATCAGCCAGGAAGTCAGGTTGGGCAACACAAGGTCATGGTCAGCAAGGTAGAAGGCCAACAGGATAGCTCAGGCAGGGACCAAGGGCAAGTGCCTGTACTGAAAGGTAGCTGTTGAGTGAGGGAGACAGAGGTACCTATGAGACTTCCCACAGATCATTCTCACAGCTTAGCTGTTTTTCCAGGCTGATTCACCCCATATTTGCACCCTATCAGAGCTGACATTGGATACATGCAGCCAAATCCAGAGCTGGGGAAGGGAGGATGTTGCAGAGCTTCTTGGTGCCTTCAGCACTTTGACAGTTTTTAGCATTTCCCATTGGAGTAACTGTGGAAATAGAACAGATAGACGTGGGCCAGCCTCTCTTCTGGTGGACGAGGAGTTGCTCCTTCCTCTGGATAATGGAAGGTGACATTGGTTGATGTTTTTGCCAGTCTGGAAGTCCTGCTGCCAAAATGGTTTGTGTTTGGCTGGTAGGATCTACTGAGGGCCTGGCTGGCTAACTCTCATTTGTGCAAAGGCCACTTTTCTATTGACTGGATCATTCAAGAGGAACATCTTGCTCTTACCCCCTTCCCTGGGTTTGGCATACTAGAATTTTAGTTTCCTGTACGATGCTCAGGCACTAAATGCTATCCTTTAGCTTCTTTGTTTGAAGCTCATAAGTGTTTGGGCGGTTCCCAGTCCCTCAAAACTTGTCCTGGAGAGACAAAGTCTGTAACTCATCTCACTTCATGTTCCCTGTATACAAAGCTTGTACTTATTATAGAGTGATCTGGGCTGAAAAAGACCTTTAAAAACCATCTAGTCCAAACCCTCTGTTGTGGGTTCGGACATCTTTCACTAGACCTGGTTACTCAAAACCCAATCCAACCTGACTTTACCCCTTGTTCAATCACTACAAGCCCTGGTAAAAAGTTTCTCTCCATCTTTCTAAAAAGCCCCCTTTAAGTATTGAAAGTATTTAAGTATTGAAACAGTAAGGTGTCCCTGTAGCCTTCTCTTCCCCAGGTTAAACAACCCCAACTCACTCATCTTTTCTTCATAGGAATGGTGCTCCAGCCCTCTGATAATTTTTGTGACCCTCCTCTGGACCTTCTGCAACAGGTCCACATCTGTTCTGTGTTGGGGACCATTGAACTGGATGCAGTATTACTGTCTGAGTAACTCATATCAGTGGTTAGAATCTGCTGGAAAGAAGAGAGACATTTGTTTATGCTATTTTCCTATCATCTAAAAGCTTTACGCTATTTCTGAACTCCTTGGTACACTCCATCTGTCACCTTCACACTTCCAGCCAATGTCACGCTGAGAGCAGCCTAGGGACGATGGCTTGCATGTGAATCATGTGAATTGAAATGGGTGAAAAGTATGCTTGGTGAATTGAGATCTGAAGCTTTCATGTATATATTGATGTAGGTGTATATAAAGCCCAAATGGTCATTGACAATTTTGTTTCTTTACTTTTCTTTCTTTTTTTTTTTTTTTTTTTTTTTTACCTTGCCTTATCTTTCCTTTTGCCTTGTCTTCCCTTTTGCCTTCTCTTACATTTTCTCCTCTTTTTCCAAGAATAAAATGCTTA